CAGCTGGTGCTCTCAGGGTGGTGAGATCTGAGCCCCTAGTCTGGCTCTACGCTCAGCAGGGAGTCTGCTTGAGATTCTCTTCCTCTGCCCTTCTCCCACCTCGTGCATGTGCTCTCTCTCTCAAATAAATAAATAAATCTAAAATAAGATAAAATGAAATAAAATAAAATAAAATAAAACAAAACACACGCACACATCCCTGCCTACCTGAAGGGGTAGAGTCAGGGATTTTTAAAGGCCAGCAAGGGCCTCCTGCGTGGCTCAGTCAGTTAAGCATCTGCCTTCAGCTCAGGTCATGATCCCAGGGTCCTGGGATTGAATCCCCCATTGGACTCCTTGCTCAGTGGGGAGTCTGCTTCTCCCTCTGCCTGCAGCATCCCCTGCTTGTGCACATGCTCTCTCTCTCCCTCTCACAAATAAATAAATAAAATCTTAAAAAAAATAAAATAAAGGCCAGCGAAAGAGGATCTGGGTAAAGGGGAGAAGAGTCATGCGACTCAAGATCAGCCCCAGGGAGTTGCTGAGTATGGGAGGGTCGATTTCATTTTGTTGTGCTCAAAGAGGAAGTCAGTGGTCCTGGGTTCTGCTGGCTTCTTTATGAAACCTTGAGCTCCTGCAAAACAACTAAACTAAATTCTGGTTATCATGTGTCAAGCATGAATATTATCTTACAGAAACAAGGTGACAGAGAATAAGCAGATTTGGGGGAGAGAGTTGAGCTGCACTACCTGCCCTGTTAACTATTTGGTGACCGGTTTCACTAGCATCCTAGTGGGCTCTAGGGAGGAAAGAACGTGGGGTCTAGGGAGGAAAGAACATAGCGTCTTTAATCATCACAAAGCCTACACCCTGTTTTTTTTTTTTTTAAAGATTTTATTTATTTATTTGACACAGAGAGAGAGAGAGAGAGTCAAGCACAAGCACAAGCAGGGGGAGAAGCTGGCAGAGGGAGAGGGAGAAGCAGGCTCCCCACTGAGCAGGGAGCCCCACGTAGAGCTCCGATCCCAGGACCCTTAGACCATGACCTGAGCCAAAGGCAGACACTTAACCCACTGAGCCACCCAGGAGGCCCTACACCCTGTTTTATAATCAAGGGCTTCTCATCACCAACCAAGTGCCTGAACACAAAACTTAGGAAATTGAACTTATGTAATAGAAACAGCACAGGTCAAAGCACACAGCACTTTCAAGTTTCTCAAAGTTCCATTTGCTAACATTTGTTTTTTATTGAGTAATTTGTTTTCCTGGGAGAGGGCCAAGGTCCCCAGTCTCTCAGGACACTCCGCAGGAGGCCATGTGGCTTATGTGGCTGCAGTTCTTGGATGTGACAGTAGATGTCACTGCCAACCAATAAATGGGGTCCTTAACCTTGGACTCTGAGCCCATCTTTCCCTGGGCCTTCGCGCCCCTGCTCTACCCATCCTTGTGTCATTCCCAGCTTAAGCCCTGAGCATCTCCCATATCACATCTGTCCTGCCCTGGGGGTCCCTGGTGGTTGTCTTCCCTCTTAGATCCTGTTCCGGTGACCTCCCTTCCAGAGATTCCTCATACTTGCTTGCTTTCCTGGGCCTTTTCCATCTTCCCCCGGAGGGTTGGGGGTGGAGGCAGCCTGTGCTTTCTAGATCCACACCAGCTACTTTTTTTGTTCACAATCGGATGGTTTTACTTTCCAAAGATACTGCAATAAAATATAAGAAGTAAACGAACAGTAAACAGTCCCTCTGAGTTCAGTGTAGGTGACAGCTATGTCCTGGAGGGTGGCCACCACTGAACTAGCCACGCTGGGCACCATCGAAGGAGGGGGGCAGCAGGATCCTCAGGTCGCCTGCCAGGATGAGAGACAGAAGAGACTCCTGGAAGTGACCTTGAATCCTGAACTGGTCTTGGCAGAGGGAAGGGCCTGAGCTAATGCTGGAAGCAGGAAGGTTGAGCGTGTTTGGGACTCTCCAGCAGCTGGACATAGCGAAGGGCACGCTGACAGGCCAAGGTCTTCATGGCAAGAGGAGCACGGGCTCTCGAGCCATGCTGAGGGCAGGCCGTTAGTTACTAGGAACTATTGTTGCTCAGGTATGTGACTGGCCAGGGGCATGGCCTGACTGCTGGACTGTGGAGTGGGGTGGGGAGAGCTGGGTGGAGGACAGCATGAAGGGGACTCTATCAGTGGCAGAGACTTCTTCTGCCAGAGGCCTGCAGGTTTCTGAGGGAGGTGGGAATGGCTGGGTACCAGGGTCCTCAAGGTCACTGCCCCACGCTGCCTGTAAATACCAGATGGTGGCCCACTGGGGCCATCCTGCCTGTAGGCCCATGACCGCATGAATGAGTGCCCGAGCGGACATGATGACGGTGCCCAAGGTGCCTCGCGCACGCCTACATGGACCCCAGCAGGATGGGTGATAAGGGAGTATGACAGGTGTGGGCAGGGCCAAGGTGCTGGAGAGTGGGGGCTACAGACTGAGCCCACCCTCCTCCCACCTGGCAGATGCTGGTTCTGCTCACCTGTATGCAGGTACCCAGGAAGAAGCTGGGCAGCAACATGGACAGACCAGTTCCTGAAGGCAGGGCTTTGACCTCCAGTCCCCAAGGGATGCTGGCGGAACTTACGGGGCTGAAGGAGCTACTGGTGCAGGCCTGGGCTCAGTAGGGCAGGCTCCCTCCACTGACCCTGCCTGGTGGGGGGTGCCCAGGGTGCCATCTGTCTGACAGATGGAGAACCACCCTCCCCCCACCTTTTGCCTGCCCCTGGAAAGGGGTGGTGGGATCCCTCCCTGGCTTCCCTCAGGTCCTGTGGCTGCCTTGGGTCTCAGGTGGGGTCAATGGGCTGGCAGTCCTTGCCTCCTGTGCTGGTGTCCCCAGAATCAAAGCCTCAGCACTGGCCTGTCCATGATCCCTAAGGCTGTGGGTCTTGGCTGTGTTGTGCTGAGAAGGGTGGCCATGGCAGGTGGCTTGGCAGGAGTGAACCGGGGCTTTCCTAGGGGCCCACAGCCCCAGCCCGAAGGTCCTGGTGCAAGCTGTCAATCCCTCCGGGGAACCCCACCAGGGTTACATCACAGGTCCTGCTTGGAGAGCTGGGAAACATAAGACTCCTCTCTGGTCCCCTATCCTTGTCCTTCTCCCTCCACTGCTTTTTGTCTGCCTCTGAGTCGCACTCTCTGTTGGATGAGTGAATGGATGAGTAAATGAACAAACGGAAGTGTTCCTCGCTGCCCTCCTCCCTCTGTCTGTCTCCCCATCTTGCTTCCAGGTTACTCTCTCCCTGTCATCCTTCTCTCACTCCTCCCTTTTACCGCATGGCTGGGACGCCTGTCCAATATGGTGGAGCCAGCTGGGGTTCTCTGTGCAGGGTCGGGTTACAAGTCCCAGCCATTGGACTCAGGGCTCCCTGACAGCTCTGGGCATGCCGGGTCTGAGCCCAGCCTCCCATCTACAGCCTGGCTGGGCCTGCCTGGCTTCACTCCCTTCTGCCTGGGCTCCAGGATGGCTGGCTCTGGACAGCCTGGCTCCTGGGGGCTGCCCGGCCCTGGGCCTCCCTCTCCACTGGGGAAGAGTCTCAGCCAGCTGTGTTCCTTCTGCAGCCGGTGGCTTCCAGAGCCTCTCCCTGGGAAGGACCGTGGGCTTCAGCTGGGGTCAGCTTTGTGCCTGTTGCCAGCCCCTCTTTCCCAGAAAGTCCTGCCACAGCCCTAGGACCCTGCCTGATCCGATCAGAGTGGCCAAGGGGTATAGGGTCTTCACTGGCTGGTCTGAGCCATGAACTGTCCTGGAAACCAAGGGTGGGGACAGCCCTGCCCAAGTTACATGTCCTACAATTATGTGTGTTTGTGGAGGGTGGAATTTGTCCCTAAAAATCCTGCCTGGCTGACTTCAGTTCCTGTGAAAACAGTGGGGAAGGCATTACAGTTGCCTTGCATGGGCCAAGAAAGTCAGGGAGTGGCTCTGAGCTCCTCAGGTCCCAGAATGGGGCGGGGGCAGCTTCCGGGGAGGCCATCGCTCAGTTCCCAGGGGGCTGCTGTGGCTGTTACCTGTGCCATGACCCACCCCACCAGCATGGGCCAGTGTGGAGGCTAGGCCCCAGCTCCCAAGCCACTCACGGCTGTTCTCTGGGTCCGGGGAGGCGCTGCCCACAGCCCAGCCCTCATCATCTCAAGACTTGGGTTCTGACAGAAAAGAAGTGCATGGGACATTCCAGGAGGAAGGCCAAGAGGCAAATGGACAAGGCTGGGGAGTGTGGCTACACTGGGTGAGGGGGCACCGCAGGGCTGAGGGCACTTGGGCTGTGGTAGGGTGTTGCGCAGGGGAGCACGGGATCTGATTTGGACTTGAGGATCCCCCGTGGTGCTGTGTGGACCAGGACAGAGGGCCTCTGGTGGTCAGGAAGCTGGTGAGGTTGGAGGGATCAGGTCTGGGTAAGGAGGAGGGAAGACTCCAGGGGGCTGGCCTGAGCCCCAGGGGGTGGGGGTGCTACACCTGAGGTGGGGGGCACCAGAAGAGGACAGGCAGGAGAGAGATGCCTTGAGGTGCCTGGGTGGGGCAGTCGGTTAAACGCCCGACTCTTGGTTTTGGCTCAGGTCCTGATCTCATGGGTGGTGGGATGGAGCCCTGAGTTGGGCCTCCGCGCTCAGCGGGAGTCTGCTTGGATGCTCTCTCCGTCTGCCCCTTCCCCTGCTTGCGTGCTCACATGCTCTCTCGCTTGCTCGCTCCCTCAAACAAACAAACAAATAAATAGAGAGAGATGTCTTTACCAAGTCAGGATGTCAGGACAGTTACTCAGACCAGAGAGAGGAGAGACCTGGGCTGGGAGGGTGGGGGTGGGGTCATATAATTGAGAGTGTGTGTGTGTGCGTGTGAGTGTGTGTGTGTGAGTGCGTGACTGTGTGTGTGTGTGTGAGTGTGTGACTGTGTGTGGGGGGGGGGTGGGGACAGGCACGGGCTGGGAGGAAAGACACGAAAGGCCTTAAAGACCAATAGTGCGCGTCTGCCAGGGAGCCTCCCACCTCAGCTAGATTGTGAAAGCCGCCCTGGCCTCCAGGAAGCAGAGATAAGGGGGCAGAAGGAAGCAGCAGGCCGGGGGGAGGGACAGGGCTTTGTGGAGGAGCAGGGTCAGGCTGCGGACCCTGCGCTGGAAAACCAGTGACAAATCTCCAACAGCCCACCGCGCCTCATCCCACAGAGGCCAGGAGGTGTGGAGGCTTGGCGGGGCGCCCGGCTACTAGCTCAGAGGAAACAGCTTTCAGGGAAGGAAACACATTTCTTCAGGCCCCATTTTGGAGGGACCAAACCAAGCCCGGGAGGCAGACCTGAGTGGAAGGTAGGTGAGGACAGTGGGAGGTGCAGCGATGCCGCTGGAGCTGTTTCTGGACCTGTACTCGCCCCCGTGCCGTGCAGTCTACATTTTTGCCCGGAAGAATGGCATTCCCTTCGAGCTGCGGCCTGTGGAGCTAGGACTGGGTGAGCCTTGACTAGGCTGGGCTCCATGGAGGGGGTGTCTGTCCAGGGGCCAGAACTTGCTGAGCCACTCATCTCCTCCACCCCTCAGGGGAGCACCTGAAGCCTGAATTCCTGAAGGTGAACCCCCTGGGGAAGGTACCTGCTCTCAAAGATGGGGACTTCCTGCTGGCGGAGAGGTAATGGGGTCCTGGGGTCTGCAGAGGCTTCTGGGTTGGGGTGGGGGTGGAGGGAGGAAGGCAGAAAGCTGATGACCCCTCACTGGGAGATTTTTCCAAACTGGTGTGACCCCCCTCCCTCCTTCCAGCTCACCCAGCTTGGAGGCAGGGGGGCTGGACTGGGGGCGGCTTTGGGGCTAAAGCTGGTAGCTTCAGCCTGGGAAAGGGGCATAGGTCACTCAGGCAGTCCCGGACAACCTGGAGCTAGCTGGGGAAGATCCAAGCTTGAGGTCAGCTCTCCTCAGATGTCCCAAACCCAGGCCTTTCAGTCACAGGAGCCAGGGGCCAGGCAGCCCCAGATCTGCACTGGGCTTTGAATCCCAGGTCCCCCCACCCTCGCTCTCCGCCATGGACAGGTCACAGAGCTTTGTGCTCCATGTTTCTCCTCTGTAAAATGGGGGAGTAACGTAACCCCCTCCCAGGACTTGCCTGAGAATAGAAACTGGTCACCAAGTACCAGGAGCCCAGGGGGGATCAAGAAAAGGGTTCTGGGGAGCACTGGCCTGGGAGGGAACTGGGAGACCCCTCGGGCAGGCCTGCCTTCCTCCCGCTCAGTAGGACCCTGATGCCAGAGAGCGGGGCCTGGAGACAGAGGGCTGGCTGGGGTAGGAGAAGGGAGAGGAGGTCGAAATGTGGGCCCATGGGGGAGCACTTGAGGAATGGAGCAGTTTGGTGGGGAAAAGATGACCATTGGTGGGGATGTGGGAATGGGCGGGTCCTCCCTTGGAGGTGCCATTGAAGAGAGATCCAGTCAAATCACCCTGTTTGTGAGAGATGAGGCTGCCTAGCGCTGAGGGCTGGGGAAATCTCCGACGCCTCCTATTTGCAGTGTGGCCATCCTTTTATACTTGAGCCGCAAGTACCGGGCGGCGACCCACTGGTACCCAACCGAGCTGCAGGCCCGTGCACGTGTGGACGAGTACCTGGCGTGGCAGCACACGGCCGTCCAGCTGCCTGCTTGCAACGTCTACCTGTGTAAGGTGAGACTCCCTGCCCTAGCGTGGGGCTTGGGCAAGAGCTGGAGCCCCCCGTGCTGGGAAGAACCCGCTGGCCCATATACACGTCCCATCCACTGTCCCAGGTAGACATCCGTAATCTATCACAGCACTCTTTCCCCCGGAGTCTGAATGATGGCTTCAGAAGCCTTCTGAATACAGTGCCCCAGGGCGTATCGCTGATGGATGGTGGGGATGGTGGCCAGGAGGGGTGGCAAGGTGGTCGAGATTGTTTGGAGGAGACTGGGATAAGCTGCCTCGATTCTCCCCCTGCCCAGTCCCTCCTGCCCCATTTCTCGGGGCAGCCTGTGGACCCCGTGCAGCTAGACCGGCTGTTGGGGAAGCTGAAACCAGCTCTGCAGCACCTGGATGGGCAGGTCCTGGCCACCAAGCCCTTCCTGGCCACCGAGCAGCTCTCCCTAGCGGATCTGATGGCATTCACAGAGCTGATGCAGGTGAGCTTCTCTTGCCTTCTTGCCCCTGGGGGGACTCCGGGCCCAGGGCTGAGTCCCCTGCTCCAGCTGCCTTGTCTCCCCAGCCCACTGCTGTTGGCTGCGACATCTTCCAAGACTGGCCCCAGCTGGCAGCGTGGCGAGCCCGAGTAGAGGCTGCTCTGGGCCCTGAGCTCGTCCAGGATGCCCACAGGCTTGTGCTACAGCCTCGGGACCCCCGAGACGCCCAGCGGGACCCCAAGCTGGCCCAGGAGCTGGTGCAGAGACTGCTGGAGCGGCTCAGCTGAGAGGGGTACGGCCGGGCCCGCTCCCCTGCACTCTCCTGCCACAATAAACATGCTGTGTGCCCTCCACTTGTCTCCAGCCTCACTCGGCGTTAGGAGGTGGGGTCTAGAGCAGAATCTAGAGGGACAGATGTCCCGCGATGATGCAGCCTAGAGTGAGCAGCACTCAGACCTCTCCATGTGCATCCAGTTACCTTCCTGAGTTGCCAGGTACTGAGCTCCCCTGGCCACTGCCAGTCCCAAGCCAAGCCAGAAGTTTCTGGGCTTCTCTGCATGGCACAGCCTGACTGGCCGACCCCTGACACCCCTGTGACATTGTCCCCGGTGCCCTGACTGCTCCCCAGGCTCCTGTTTCTTTTTCTCCCAACACTTTTCTAGCTACAGTTCAGGCTAGACTGACCTATGCCTACCCCCAAGCCCTGCTTCTGAAACCCTCTGTGGTCAGTTCTCATTGCCCTGTCTTTATTCTGGACCCCGCAGAGCCCGGGGTCACGGGCTGCAATGAAGTTCCGGCCCTGAGAATTCCCGTGTGTAAGTCCTTTTTCAGAAATGGGCCACAAGGACAGACAGGCACCAAGATGGAGGGGAGGGGCAGGGCTGCAGGAGGCCCCCACCTTCTGCCCCCGAGCCAGGGGCATCTCCCTAGTCTGCTCCTGAGTCTCCCCAGAATCCTTGCTGCTGTGAGAATTCCGGGCTTCCTGGCCTCATGACACCACCAAATGAAACAAGAAGTTCCAGAACTCGGGGTCCTGGGCCTGGGTTAGAGACGGCTGAAGGGCACAGGGCCAGGGCCAAGGGCTCAGGCTGCATATAGGTTCAGGTTCAGAGCCTGGTGGCTGGCTGGTGGGGGTGCCCAACGTGTGTCTCAACATGGGCCTGGAGCTCTATCTGGACCTGCTGTCAGCATCCTGCCGTGCTGTGTATATCTTCGCTAGGAAGAACAGCATCCCCTTCGACTTCCAGTTTGTGGATCTGCTAAAGGGTAGGCACCCCCTGCTGCCGGGCATAGGTCTGGTCCAGAGGGGAGGCAGGGCACAAGGTCAGGGTGTCTCTAAGCTGAGACACAGAGGACACTCCCCCCATCAAAGTCCACAGGGGAAGAAGCATTACCCAAGGGAACTATAGGCTGTCCATCCTTCCCACATATTCTACCCTGCTATCAGGTAAAGTGGAAGGCAGAGCTGCTGAGCGTCCCCCAGGCTCCCATCCAGTGCCCTTGGCTTTTCCTTGTGGGGGTGTAGCGCTTCTTAGCTGCACTACCTCTGATCAGGTGGCAAAGGCTGCAGAAGTGTGTGGTCATTCACATCTGAGTGAAGACCCCTGCTTCAGTCCACACCCATCCTCCCCACCGTGTTCACACCTGCCCAGGGTGACACAGACCCTGAGTGAGGTACAGGGCACTGGTCTCCAACACTATCCTAAGCATGGAAGGGATTCTTTTTTTTAAGATTTTTAATTTTTATTTATTCGTGAGAGAGAATGAGAGACAGAGAGCACGAGAGGGAGGAGGGT